TGTATCCATCCTGGACTCCCGACTTCGTGGGGTCGGCTCCAGTACCTGGTGGACTGGGAGGGGTACGGTCCAGAGGAGCGGTGTTGGGTTATGGTGGACGACATTCTAGATCCCAAAATCATCTGAGATTTCCACCTTTGCCATCCAGACCGGCCCGCAACTTTGCCTCAGGGCCGTCCCCCTGGCCGTCGTCCCCCTGCGGCTGGAGCCACGCATTGGGGGGTGTACTGTCACGTCTACTCCTGCTCCGGCGCTCGATGTCACCGGTTTACTAACCACCGGTCCTGGCAACCCATCATTACGCACACCTGCGCCCCATCATGAGGCACACCTGGACTTCATCACTACCTTGATTATTCCCCCTTCATCTAGCACTCCCTAGCATCACTGTTCAGGCAGTATTGTTTCTGTGTTCATGTCCAGACGCTCTCTTGTTTTGTATCGCTCTATGTTCGTTATTATTATTATTATTAAACTCACCACCTGACTCCCAGCGTCATTGTTACACATAGTGGTAATTACAAAAAAAATCTGCATCACCAACTCAAAAACCAATGGCTTTGTGAAACATAGCCTTCATCTCTAAAGCCACAAAATCTTTAGTTAGATTTCCAACAAAGTTGTATAAGTGGTTCCCCATCCTTCTTTCTCAGATTTACCAACCCAATAATCCACAGCGTCAAACAGTTTGCTCACTCTTTTGATCGAGGAGTTTTTCCCTGATTTCTCTTAACTTTTGTACAATGTATGGTTCCTCCTTGAGATCACACACAATTGTTTCAGCAGCCCCTTGAACAATGGTGGATGAAAACCTAAAGCTTTCAGAATCCTGGCCAAGGCGTGTTTCAGTCTTGGTGTAAAAGGTTATTGTGCGATGTCCTCAAAGTACTGTAGCTCTCAGAATAATGAGCATCTGGTTTGAACAAGCAAGAATGTCTTATTATTATAGTGAATAATCTTCAGACATACTCCTCAATTGCTGTAAGCAACTTGTGTGTGGATGGTTGTGTCTTCCCCCTTTTTAACCTGTTGTTCTGGTAGATCGATGCAGAGGCATATCACGTCAGTGCTACCACCCACAGTCACACTCTAATTCATCTTAAACATCCGACGGGATTAGCTCTGATCTGACAGCCTTATACTGTTTCAACTCTTCAATACATTTATATTCTATTACGAATATCTTGTGACTGAGACACACAAAACACATTCCGGAAAACACTCCATTCACTTGAGGTAAAATCCACCTGGTCTCTTACTTCGCAAAAATTCCTTGCCTTCAACCATAGGTTGTGAGGGCATGAAAACATAACCACCAATACGACCATCTGAAAATGTCCACTCATGCCCCAACATGTCTGGATGTAGTTGAAGAATTTGTGTTAAACTAGTCAATGGTTTCTTGGGCGCCGACACAATCATTGCGTCTTCATTATCAGGATGGACCGTCTTGGGGACCTTAGTAGACCAGACCCCTTGATTTCTCAGGTGTTTTATTCTACTGTACATGGTGGGTACCAAGCTCTATTGCTGTTTGACTGGGTTTATCTTGTTTCACTCAGATATGTCTGAACAAATTACCACCCCTTTCAACCAAGATACTATGCAGTACTATATTCCCCCATATTTGAGTTGTGTGTGTTTCAAAAAAATCTTTGTTCTTTTAATTTAAATGTATTTTGGGGGGGGTAGATCAGCTTTAATATTGCAGATAAATTGTAACTTTGTCACGAGTGTCAGTGTAATGCGGTGGGTCGAAGTCAGGCGCAGGACACCGAACTCAATGAAAACGTACTTTAGTGACAAGTAAAGAAGCAAATACAAAATACCTCCACACAGGGAGGAGCAAACCCGCTCACCAAACGACACACGAAACGAAATAACAAACATGCACAAAACACAATGGGAGCCACCGGGTTAAATAGGGAAGGAGTAATTACACGATGGGAAACAGGTGTGAGACAATCAGACAACAACAGGTAGAACATAGAAACATAGAACATAGATTGGCAGCAGCTAGTATTCCGGTGACGACGAACGCCGAAGCCTGCCCGAGCAAGGAGGAGGGGCAGCCTCGGCAGAATCCGTGACAAACTTCCATCAATGTAATTGTCTGCATCACTTCCAATCCCCCATATGTTTTTTTTACATATAAATATACATACATACACATACATATACACAGACATACATATAAATACATATACATATACATATGTACATATCCTTTAAAAATATATATTTCCCTTTATTACTTTCCAACCCCACCACCTCTTCCCTATTTGGACTAAACTAGTGAACAACAACGCTTAGGCCTCTACCTCCAGCTTATACATAGTATATACATTTGATGGACACAGTCAATTTTACAATAATTATATTTTGTTTGTTTTTTCTCCTGAACTTCTTCTACTCTCAACCTCTCCGATCATTTTCATGATGTCCATCCGGTTTGCTTCTATATGCCATATCTTTCTAACTGTACTCTTTCACAAAACCTCTCAACCTATAACCTATATGCTCATTATGGACACAGTATGCTTTACATTAGTTATCTTGTTATTAGTTGTTGTTAGTTGTTAATAGTCCCATCCTTCAACTCCATTCAACACCTCCCATCTATCTCTTAACACCCTCCATATTGGATTTCTATTTGCCATATATTTTCCAACTGTACTGTTATGTTTCACAAAAGTTCTGAACACTTCTATTCTCATTGTTTCTACAGATTGTAAATTGAAAATAAACATTTTTGCTAAAAGTATTATTATATTATTGATCGTTTGACTCTGACTTTTCAGATCACCCAGCAGTGCTATCTGCAGGGTTAGCTCCAGGTAAATATTGCAATCCTTCAGCCATTCCTGGACCTGTGACCAAAAACAAGCTACAAATGGACAGTACCAAAACAAATGATCTAATGATTCTGTCTTTTCGCAGCAAAATCTGCAGAGCTGGGAAGATTGTATCCCACATATAAATAACATTCTATTGGTAGCAAGAATTTTGTATAATAATTTAAATTGAACAATTCTAAGTTTTGAATCCGGCGTCGTTTTGCATATCATTTCATAAACACTATGCCATGGAATCGGTACGTCAAAAATCTCTTCCCAACCATTTTGCAATCTATATGGGACGGGTGTCAATCCTTTGGGCCTGAAATGAAACTGGTATACTTTTTTATCTATCACAATTTTCTTTAACCAATTATGTTCTTTAATGCAGGGCCGACAGTCAAGTTCCTTACTTTTTCCCCCTTCCACTTTCCTCTTCCATTTTTGCGGTAATGCTGCAATTACAGTGAGGGAATCCACACAGTGATGTGATCCCCTGCTGATTTTTTACATTTGCCCACTGACAAAGAAATGATCAGTCTATAATTTTAATGGTAGGTTTATTTGAACAGTGAGAGACAGAATAACAACAACAAAATCCAGAAAAACGCATGTCAAAAATGTTATAAATTGATTTGCATTTTAATGAGGGAAATAAGGTGTATTTTATACAGGTAACAAGCTGAGGTTAGGAGCACACTCTTAAAGGGAGTGCTCCTAATCTCAGTTTGTTACCTGTATAAAAGACACCTGTCCACACAAGCAATCAATCAATCAGATTCCAAACTCTCCACCATGGCCAAGACCAAAGAGCTCTCCAAGGATGTCAGGGACAAGATTGTAGACCTACACAAGGCTGGAATGGGCTACAAGACCATCGCCAAGCAGCTTGGTGAGAAGGTGACAACAGTTGGTGTGATTATTTGCAAATGGAAGAAACACAAAAGAACTGTCAATCTTCCTCGGCCTGGGGCTCCATGCAAGATTTCACCTCGTGGAGTTGCAATGATCATGAGAACGATGAGGAATCAGCCCAGAACTACACGGGAGGATCTTGTCAATGATCTCAAGGCAGCTGGGACCATAGTCACCAAGAAAACAATTGGTAACACACTACACCGTGAAGGACTGAAATCCTGCAGCGCCCGCAAGGTCCCCCTGCTCAAGAAAGCACACACACAGGGCCGTCTGAAGTTTGCCAATGAACATCTGAATGATTCAGAGGAGAACTGGGTGAAAGTGTTGTGGTGGTGTTTTTCTGCTAAGGGGACAGGACAACTTCACCGCATCAAAGGGACGATGGACGGGGCCATGTACCGTCAAATCTTGGGTGAGAACCTCCTTCCCTCAGCCAGGGCATTGAAAATGGGTCGTGGATGGGTATTCCAGCATGACAATGACCCAAAACACACGGCCAAGGCAACAAAGGAGTGGCTCAAGAAGAAGCACATTAAGGTCCTGGAGTGGCCTAGCCAGTCTCAAGACCATAATCCCATAGAAAATCTGTGGAGGGAGCTAAAGGTTCGAGTTGCCAAACGTCAGCCTCGAAACCTTAATGACTTGGAGAAGATCTGCAAAGATGAGTGGAACAAAATCCCTCCTGCAAATCAATTTATAACATTTTTGACATGCGTTTTTCTGGATTTCTTTGTTGTTATTCTGTCTCTCACTGTTCAAGAAAACCTACCATTAAAATGATAGACTGATCATTTCTTTGTCAATGGGCAAACGTACAAAATCAGCAGGTGATCAAATACCTTTTTTCCCTCACTGTATTTGGTTGTAATTTTGGGTAGAGCAGACATTTCCATATGTTTTTATTAGCTGCATGTACGACATAACTCCACCAGTCCTAACTATGATATCATTTATGAAGATTACACCTTTTTGAATATTTTTTTCAAAATATAATATTTTTCTATCAATTAGTATTTTTGAGTTTAACCACAATATTTGTTGCATTATTTGTTCTGTCGTTTCTGGAGGATTAAATTGAAATTGCAACCAAATTTCTATGGCTTGTTTTAGAAATAGTGATATTTGGGAGATTATTTCCTTTTCAAATAACTGAAAGTGAGTTGTGTGTGTTTGTTAATCTTTTGTGTGTGTGTGTGAGGGAAGGACAGGACGAACACAGTGTGAGTTACATGCCAGTCATAGTCTTAACTCTCACTTTCTTTTACTCAATCTCTTTATTCATCAGTCTCATACATTTACCACGACAATCACAGTGACAGGCAATAGTGATGATGATGGTGATGAAGAAGAAGCTGATAATGATGTGGATGAAGAGCAAAAAGTTCTGAGGTGTTTTCGCTGTTCTGCGTCCAGCCTCTGGAAGGAGTCGTGGATGTATTCTTTCATGTTACTGCTTCTCTCAGTCATTCCCTCTATCTGTCTTTCTTTCTTTCAATTTGGCCTTTCTTTTTTTGTAGTTCTTTCTTTTTGTGCCAATAAGCACCTGAGGCCCGGCCTGAAATCCTGCCTGGACTAGCCTGATTAGTGGAACATGGAGCGGCGAGGGAGAGGAGGCGCAGGAGAAGGGAGAGAAGAGAGGGAAGAGGAGTAGGAAGTATAACAAGAGGAAGAAGAAGGAGAGGAGGAGTAGAAGAGGAGGGATGGTGTTTCCTGCTCAGTGCTGAATCCTCCTGATGGACTGGATCTGAGGGGTCTGAGCGTGGGAGCCAAACTCACGGTAACACTTGTACTCTCCTCCATGGCAGTCGCACTCCATGATGTACTGGTGGCCACGGTAGCCGGGGAACTGGTAGCACACGAAGCTACAGGGAGAGAAGAGATCAGGCCAATCAGATACACTGTTACTGTGAGGTGAGTCAGAGTGGGCCAATGGGAATGAGGGTGAGGATCAACTTGGCAATAGGACAGAGTAGTGCAGGCAATATAAGTGCAAAAATCACTACAGTAGTGTGGTATTGGAGTAGCAGCTTCAGGTATGCAATTATAGAGTAGAGGTTGGCCTTTGGCGGTAGTGTTGTTGTAGTAGTAGTAGAAGTATAAGTAGCAGTTATTATTAATAGTAGAGATTGGTCTGTGCCGGAAATGTACAGTAGTAGTAGCACTAGTAGTAGAAGCAGTCATTATTAGCAGTAGATATTGGTCTGTTACGGTAGTGTACAAGTAGTGGTAGTACAAGTGTAGTAGAGTAGTAGTGTACAGAAGTAGCAGTGGTAGTATATTTAGTGTGAAGTGGCAGTGTCCCTGTCATGGAATTAATATGCTTACGCTCCACTCTGGATGTGCATGGATCCAACCTCATTGTTGAACCAGCCCATGGCCTGCAGGGAGGGGTAGTCATCACACATCTCAAACTGGCGACCAATCATGTTCTCCTTCTCATAGATGGTCATACGGGACTCCTTGTGGCTCTGAGAGAGATGGAGAGAGGGAGATAGAGAGAGAAAGGAGGGATGGTGAGAGCGATGAGCAAGAGAGACATGATGGGATGAAAAGACAGACATTGTAACACACAGTTTACATTCTTATAGTATTTAATATATTGTTATTGCTAATCAAATGTATCATAAGGTTATACAATGTTATGCAATGTAAATATTATCTGGTAACATTGGCATGATAATGTAATGTGATCGGATGTTATGTTCATTATGTAATAAAGTAAAGGTAATGCAGTCTGATGTGATGTATTGTAGATACTGTTGATAATGTTGCTATGATAATGTGAGGATCTGTGATAATGTGGAGTGACTCACAGCGGAGCAGATGGGTCTGAAGGAGATCATCCTCTCGATGCGGTAGGAGTTGCTGCCGCTGTAGGCCTCGAAACGGGGGTAGTCTCCCTTCTCCAAGACAAACTGCTGGCCACTGAAACTGGAGTGCTCATAACCCACCCAGCTAGAGGGAGGAAGATGGATGGATGGATGGAGGGAGGGATGGATGGAGGGAGGGAGGGAGAGAAAGGGAGATGGAAAGAGTGAGATAGTGATGGAGGGAGATGGAATGAGAGAGAGGGCGATGTAGGGAGACAAAGGAAGGTAGGGAGAGGAAGGAAGAGAGAAAAGAAAGGGAGATATTTTGATTGAAATCAAGGAAAGAGAGACAGTGATGGATGGAGAGAGAACAGAAAGAAGAGATGAATAAGGAGAGAGAGAGATTAGTCAGTGCCCAATGTAATAATGGCTGCCATTGGCTCATGCTAGCCTGCTGGAAAACCTCTTTCATGTTTTGGGAAAGGTTTTGGGACTACTTACACTCCACACTCGACCTTCAGGGAGCGGATGTTCTCCATGCCACACTCCATGATGTTCTGGCAGCAGGCGGTGAACTCCATACGTTTTCCCTGGAAGTACTCCTGGTCGTACACAGTGATCTTCCATGGGCCCATGGGCATGGGGTTCATGGGGTTCATGGGGTTGGTCAGAGCCATTATGTCCTTCTGTCTCAGTGCTGACCTGGAGACAGAGAGGAGGGAGGGAGAGAGACAGGGACGGGAGTTAAAACAAATAAATAAACATGCAATCATCCATACTGACATTTTTCTCCAAGCATGTCTCTGCATATAGACAATCATCACTGTATATACATATAAATAATTCACTAAGACATCCCACATTGTCTTGACGCTCCCAGTGAATGGCCCATAGCCTCTGGTCCCCGGACATGTAGCTACAGAACAACACAGTTCATTGACTCATGAGGTAAAGCCTTCAGACAGATGCTTGACCAGCTCTATCCACCTTGTTATTCTGCTGCTCTTCCAAAGCCCTAATAAGCTCTTTTAAATAGAGTGATCTATGCATGATGACCAGCCATTCATACCTCTCCCACGGGGGGCCAGTATGAAAATGTATGCACTCACTAACTGTAAGTCGCTCTGGATAAGAGCGTCTGCTAAATGACTAAAATGTCAATGTAAATGTAAGCTCCCTATCATCATAGCCTCAATGGTTCTTAGACTATTTTATACCATGATCCACCTAAACTGAAGCCGTTCAAATAATAGTATTGTAATCCTCCAAAGAAGATAAAACAAAACAAAAATGTATTGTCTTCAGTGACAACTCCCAGGCACCACCCACCACTGGTTCCAGATACATCATTTAGGAAACACTACCCTATTGTCCCCTGCTCTAATAGCCCTGCTAAGCTCTATCACACAGACAAATAGAAGTCTATGGGCTGGATTCCGGGACCCAGATCAAGCCTGAAGCCTAACGTCATGAACTTAAAAAAACATGCTCAATGGAGAATCTCCAATGATCTAGCTTTATAGTTAGATAAACATAAAGCTATGTGTCAAGGCCCATCAGATCAGACCTATTCAAACAGATAGGACTAAATTAAGTCTGTTAGATAAACATGAAGCTATGTGCTAGCAGACCTACCTAAAACGTAAGCTGTGTGTCACAGGGTTCCACTGAGCGGTCTGCCAGGGAGGTGTGTGTGTGGGTATATATACACCCCCGAGGCCTGGGGCTAGGGGGTCGGCCACACCCACTTCACTGTCAGCACTTTGTTTTGGGATCCATTGTTACTGAGCTTGAGTCTGCCTGAGATGGGGTTAACACACATACATATACACACACGCACGCACACGCACAAATAACGTAGGAACACAGACCTACAGACACATACTGTCACACCAATGTAGACACAGACAGACCAACATAGAAAAACACAAACAGAATTCACACACTGTACACACGTTAAAACAAACACACCTAGAGTATACGATATCCACTGAGTATACAAAACATTAAGAACACCTGCTCTTTCCATGACATAGACTGACCAGGTGAATCCAAGTGAAAGCTATGATCCCTTATTGATGTCACTTGTTAAATCCACTTCAATCAGTGTAGATGAAGGGGAGGAGACAGGTTAAAGATGGATTTCTAAGCCTTGAGACAATTGAGACATGGATTGTGTATGTGTGCCATTTAGAGGATGAATGGGCAAGACAAAAAGTGTTTGGTGTTCCTATTGTTTGGTATACTCAGTGTGTAAAAACTATTATAAACCGGGTAGTTTGGGTCCTGGATGCTGATTGATTGAAACAGCATTTCAGCCGTGTGTATATCATTTACATTTTACATTTTAGTCGTTTAACAGACGCTCTTATCCAGAGCGACTTACAGTTAGTGAGTGCATACATTTTCATACTGCCCCCCCGTGGGAATCGAACCCACAACCCTGGCATTGCAAACGCCATGCTCTACCAACTGAGCTACACGCAATGCAATAGACCAAGGGTATGACACAAAAAATACTTGTTTACCGTTCTATTGATGTTGGCAACCAATTTATAATAACAATAGGCTTAGCGTCGTGCATAAGAACAGCCCTTAGCCTTGGTATATTGGCCATTATAAACCGGGTAGTTTGGCTCCTGGATGCTGATTGGCTGAAAGCCATGGTATTTCAGGCAATATACCACGGGTGTGACAAGAAATTACTTGTTTACTGTGCTAATTGTGTTGGTAACCAGTTTATAATAGCAATAAGGCACCTTGGGGGTTTGTAGTATGTGGCCAATATACAACAGCTAAGGGCTGTATCCAGGCACTCCGCGTTGCGTCGTGGAAAGAACAGCCATTAGCCATAGCATATTGGACATATACCACACCCCCTCGGGCCTTATTGCTTAAGTATACCACTAACTCTTTATTATGACAACAATATAATATAACTTTACTTACTAGGCATTTTTAGCTCAGTGTAACAGTGTTGGTCAAAAATACACTTTACGGGTCATTTGGGAATTACATAACTGATCAGCGTTTTGGAAATAGTAGTAGGACATTTGTTAGGGTGAGGGGGCAGTGGTACAATGCCAGGGGGGCAATGAGGGGGAAATAGAAACCTGGCCTCTGCCATGGGGGAGGGGGTGGTGGTTGGGTAGATCTATACATTGGCAAAGACTGGTGCTGTTTTTTTGGTATTGGCTGGTTATTTCTGATTGCCAGCGTGAATGGACCATGTGAATGGACCATGATTAAATAAAATATTAGATGTGGGGGTGGTGTAAAAGTGAGAGAAAGAGAGAAATAGATGGAGAAGTTCATTGATGAAAAAGAAGAGCTCTTCTTGCCATGGATACAGAGAGCAAATAGATCTGTTCTCCTCTGAAGTGATGTTGCAATATATGGATGAGATTCAGAAGAGTTGTTTGTCAATGTTACTCACTGTTCACATAGGCAATGTTCATTAGTTTGTGTTCTAAAGTAGTGTATAGTTAAGTATGTACCTAATTATTTACACAAGCTATCAACATCAACATTTCAGTCATATTCAAGATTCTTCCAAGATATCTTTGGTTTTTGTCTACAGTTCCAGTCAAAAGTTTGGACACACCTACTCATTCAAGGGTTTTTCTTTATTTGTGATATTTTCTACATTGTAGAATAATAGTGAAGACATCAAAACTATGAAATAACAAATATGGAATAATGTAGTCACCAAAAAAGTGTTAAACAAATCAAAATTGGTGTTATATTTGAGATTCTTCAAATATCCACCCTTTGCCTTGATGACAGCTTTGCACACTCTTGGCATTCTCTCAACCAGTTTCACCTGGAATGCTTTTCCAACAGTCTTGAAGGAGTTCCTTCACTCTGCGGTCAGACTCATCCCAAACCATCTCAATTTGGTTGAGGTCGGGGGATTGTGGAGGCCAGGTCATCTGATGCGGCACTCCAACACTCACCTTCTTGGTAAAATAGCCCTTACACAGCCTGGAGGTGTGTTGGGTCATTGTCCTGAAAAACAAATGATAATCTCACTAAGCCCAAACCAGATGGGATGGCGTATCGCTGCAGAATGCTGTGGTAGCCATGCTGGTTAAGTGTGCCTTGAATTCTAAATAAATCACAGACAGTGTCACCAGTAAAGCACCCCCAAACCATAACACCTCCTCCTCCATGCTTTACGTGGGAAATACACATGTGTAGATCATCCGTTCACCCACACCGCATCTCACAAAGACAAGGCGGTTGGAACCAAAAATCTCCAATTTGGACTCCAGATCAAAGGACAAATTTCCACCAGTCTAATGTCCATTGCTCGTGTTTCTTGGCCCAAGCAAGTCTCTTCTTATTATTGGTGTCCTTTATTAGTGGTTTCTTTGCAGCAATTCGACCATGAAGGCCTGATTCACGCAGTCTCTTCTGAACAGTTCATGTTGAGATGTGTCTGTTACTTGAACTCTGTGAAGCATTTATTAGGGCTGCAATCTGAGGTGCAGTTAACTCTAATGAACTTATCCTCTGCAGCAGAGGTAACTCTGGGTCTTCCTTTCCTGAGGTGGTCCTCATGAGAGCCAGTTTTATCATAGTGCTTGATGGTTTTTGCGACTGCACTTGAAGAAACTTTCAAAGTTCTTGACATTTTCCAGATTGACTGACTTCGTGTCTTAAAGTAATGATGGACTTTGGTTACTCTTTGCTTTTTTGAGCTGTTCTTGCCATAATATGGACTTGGTATTTTACCAAATAGGGCTATCTTCTGTATAACACCCCTACCTTGTCACAACACAACCGATTGGCTCAAACGCATTAAGAAGGAAAGTAATTCCACAAATTAACTTTTAAGAAGGCAAACCTGTTAATTGAAATGCATTCCAGGTGACTACCTCATGAAACTGGTAGAGAGAATGCCAAGAGTGTGCAAAGCTGTCATCAAGGCAAAGGGTGGCTACTTTGAAAAATCTCAATTATAACATATATTCTGATTTGTTTAACACTTTTTTGGTTACTACATGATTCCATATGTGTTATTTCATAGTTTTGATGTCTTCACTATTATTCTACAATGTAGAAATAGTAAAAATACAGAAAAACCCTTGAATGAGTAGGTGTGTCCAAACTTTTGACCGGTACTGTATATGCTTGTGTGCAGTGGGGAAAAAAAGTATTTAGTCAGCCACCAATTGTGCAAGTTCTCCCACTTAAAAAGATGAGAGAGGCCTGTAATTTTCATCATAGGTACACGTCAACTATGACAGACAAATTGAGAAAAAATTCCAGAAAATCACATTGTAGGATTTTTAATGAATTTATTTGCAAATTATGGTGGAAAATAAGTATTTGGTCACCTACAAACAAGCAAGATTTCTGGCTCTCACAGACCTGTAACTTCTTCTTTAAGAGGCTCCTCTGTCCTCCACTCGTTACCTGTATTAATGGCACCTGTTTGAACTTGTTATCAGTATAAAAGACACCTGTCCACAACCTCAAACAGTCACACTCCAAACTCCACTATGGCCAAGACCAAAGAGCTGTCAAAGGACACCAGAAACAAAATTGTAGACCTGCACCAGGCTGGGAAGACTGAATCTGCAATAGGTAAGCAGCTTGGTTTGAAGAAATCAACTGTGGGAGCAATTATTAGGAAATGGAAGACATACAAGACCACATGCAAGATCTCACCCCGTGGGGTCAAAATGATCACAAGAACGGTGAGCAAAAATCCCAGAACCACACGGGGGGACCTAGTGAATGACCTGCAAAGAGCTGGGACCAAAGTAACAAAGCCTAC